ATTCGCAATAGCTCATCTGGTTCCCCCCACGGCCTCCCCTCTTTCCACCCTCCCCGGTATCCCCACAGCCTCCCCCCTCCCCGGTATCCCCATGACCTCCCCCCTCCCCGGTCTCTCCACAGCCTCACCTCTTCCCACCCTCCCTGGTATCCCCACGACCTACGACCTCCACCCTCCCCGGCCTTCCCTTCCCAGTATCCCCACGGCCTTCCCCCTCCCCAGTATCTCTACAGCCTTCCCTTTTTCCCTGGTATCCCCACAGCCTCCCCTCTCCCACCTTCCCAATCTCCCCACAGCCTCCCCTTTTCTCCCCCTTCCCAGTATCCCCATGGCCTCTCCCCTCCCCTCCCCGTTATCCCCACAGCCTCCCCTCTTCCTATCCCCACAACCTTCCTCTTCCCCCATGTACAAACCCAGCAGCTTGTCATGGCAGTAAAAAGCAGATGAAGGTCTGGTATCGTCTCCATCGGAGGCACGGTACCCGGCTACACAAAAAGGTGCCCAGGGCATTGCCAGCTTTTCAGTCAGGCTTGCGTTACTACTCCGGAAACAGGCTGAGCTCCAGGGCAGGGGAGCAGTTTGCCGTCCTTGCCAAGGGTGAGCTACAGAACCTCACCCGACTAAGCGGCGGAAGTAACCCAGTGGCACAGAGCAGCCAGCTGTTCCGTGGCTCTGCAGGAGACCCTAGCTTGCCCCCACAATATGAAGGAGGCGATGCATTTGGTCTACAAGGATGCAGACATTCCAGCACTGCACCCCTGCAATTCACAGCACTGGACTCAAGCCGCAGACTGGACGCTTGGGTACCCAGGGCCAACTGACAGAAGGCTGGGAACAAAGAGAGGGAATAACCCCCACGCAAGAGGAACTGGGAGAAAGGGAAGTGCATGTATAGAAGCATAGGTCCCGCTACTGTGCGTGCCTGGGCAGCTGCGTACAAAGGGCCGTGCACCTAATTAGTGGAGTCATGCAGACAAGGGTCCACTAATTAGATGCCTCCTGACCCTGCAGAAAGCATGAGGAAGGTGATGTGCTGGAGGGAAATCAGGGTGGGGACCATACCAGGATTCCTAGCACCAACTGGGCTGTATGAGGCAGCCAGGGAGGGATGCAACTTTCTCCAGCAACTGCCTCTCTGCAGCTCTAGCTATGCTGCTGCTGTAGCCAAAATTCATGTTTGTATCGAAATACAAGTAGTATTCTTAAGGCAGGAAGGCCTATAGAATGTTTTGCTTCTGTTTCACCTGGCCAGCCACCCTTCATGATTAGCACGAAGGAGCAGCTTGTGCCATCGGCAGATATGCATCAAGTAAGCTGATCAGTGCATCCCCCATGTTCAGGCTGGAAGAGACCATAACTTCGTACAGTCATTTCTTTGTCTTAGAACACAGTTTTATTACGATGTTTGCTATAAGGCCTGTCTTGTCTGCATTGCAAGCTAAGTTGTGTACGGTTCTTGTGTTATTGCTTCAGTACCTATATAATCCTTTCTGAAGTGTCATCTGACCTGGAATTCTCGGTGAGAGTGAAGGTGGTGTATAGCATTAAGAACGAGCGTGAAAGCCACCATGAATGTCCAGATCAAGAAGAAATAAGAAACTTGGAGACTATCAGAAAACATCCACTGTGCCAGATACGACATGAATTAACAACCCTTGGAGGCGCCCCCAGAAGCGATAAGGAAGGGAAGCCAATCGGCAGGTGGTCGTGGAAAGCTCCCAGATTAACCCCACTGAAGTACACTGCAAAACCTAGAGACGCCAATGGAAATTTACAGCATAAAGAACTTTGGGGCTAGTCCTGCAGAGCCTTGGGGCATCGGATCATGACTGACAGCCCAGCTCCTCACCGGTGTTCAATTTAACTGGCCACTGGGTTGACGCGAGCCACGGCAGACGGGGAGCTAAGATGGCTGCAGGGCCTGTGTGGGCTACTCTGGGAAGGGCTGGCACCAAGAGTGCTCTCGGCATGCAAAAGCCACCAAACGTGAACATCAGTCAAACTGGTTTTTCTGCCTCCCACTGTCGACATTTCCTGGCCTGCCAAAGCAGCCCCGAGATTTCATTCTGTTAGCTAGAGATGGGGCTATCCCTGCCCACCGAACCACGCTGGCTGAGGAAGGAGCTGACTTGGGAGGAACTGTAGGGACTGGCAGTCCCAAGCAGGCTGCAGCCTCTTCCCTGGGCCTGTGGTGTGGAAGTGTTGGTATCTGGGGATGCTGGCTGGTCAGGAAGAGCATGAAACACTCCAGCATCTGCCCCCCCATGAGCTGCAATGAAGCAGTGTCAGCTCTGGGCAGCAGGCGCTGACAGACGAGAAGGCAGCTGTAGAAGAGTGACGAGCCATCCAGGGGCTGTCTTACGAGGGAAAGCCTAAACACACATCATTCAGCTGCATGGTGCCTTGGGGAAGTCTAGGACAGTCCTCCAGGTTACACCACTGATGGGACTGCTGCCTAGCGCAAAGCACGGGAGCCATTCGGAGTAAATGGGTTCACTTCAAGGGAGGGAAACAGTAACGCTGTGTGAGCATGCAAAAGAGCGAGTTCCACGGAAGAGGATTCCATTGACTGGTCTGCGGGAGGCCTGCGAGACTCAGACTGTCTCCCCCAGCACAGGCTGGGAAAACAGTTACTCCTGGAGTTAATTCTAAAACAAACTCCAAATAATCATCTCTTCTCCGCCCCAAACATTCATTACAATCCCATTTAGGAAGTCGTTTATGCCTGGATGTTGCATCAGATGGCATTTCAGAATTCCTTACCTGGTACACAGGTTAATGCATCTGGTTCCAAAAGGAATGCTACCTCTACCAGTGGCTTAAAATGTCTGGATTTAGCGTTGTCTGGGAATATGGACTACAGCCTTACAGTTTGATTTGCAGTGTCATGCTGGTATTTTCTAACCTAGCCTAAGATGTGGACAAACTGGAGAAGGTCCAGAGAAGAGCAAGAAAAATGATGGAAGGTCTAGAAGACATGAGGTAGAAGGGAAGACTGAAAGAATTGGGCTTGTTTAGTCTGGAAAAGAAAAGAGAGTGGACAGGAGAGCAGCTTTAACGTACCTAAAAAATGGTCACAAGGAGGAGGGAGAAAAATTATTCTCCTTAAACATTTGAGGACAGGCCAAGAAGCAATGGGCTTAAACTGCAGCAAGGGAGGTTTAGGTTGGACATTAGGAAAAACTTCCCACCTGTCAAGGGGTATGTCTACACTACCACCCTAGCTCGAACTAGGGTGGTAATGTAGGCAACCGGAGTTGCAAATGAAGCCCAGGAAGCTCTGGGGCTGCAGTGGCCAGTAATACTTGTCAGATGCCTCAACGTTTGAGAGCAGTTTTCCTGGAGGATTCAGTGGGCTATGGTAGGAGTAGGTATCAAACTGGGCCTCTGGTGCACATTTTTTAGGCTTTCACTTAATGGCATGTCTTTGCTTGATTTACCAAACTGCATTCCGTAGCATCTTAGAGACTAACAGATGTATTGGAGCAAAAGGCCACGAAAGTGTCTGCTCCAATCCATCTGTTAGTCTAAGGTGCCACAGGATTCCTCGCCGTTGTTGCAGATCCAAACTAACATGGCGACCCCTTTGATCCAAACTGCGTTCCGTACCCCACGTTTTACTGGTTTTGAGCTGGAGTTCTTAGGCAGGGTGATAAAATACATAGAAACCGAGGGCATTATTAATTTTCTTTATCTGATTTCATGGTAAGTGCCATGCACTGTTTAATTAGCCCTTGGTTTAAAATTCTCTCTCATAGCCATGAACTTTTAAAATGTATGCATCTAGGTTTGCTGGTGGCACACAGCTGCACTGCACCTCAACAGTGGTGTACATCCCACAATTCAACCTCCACCTTGCCGGAACCAACGAAGAGGAGTGCACCTCTGGTGCTTTTTATTACCCTGCCCTACCATTTACACTGAGACGACAAAACCTAACCCCCTACCAAAGCAGCCACTGCTCTCAGCAGTTCAAGTGTCGGAGTAAGATACAGCTGGTTCCCTCTGGCTGGTCACTTGCCATCATCCACTGGCCTTCTGTATATGCCTTCACTGTAATAATGCTGCACTGCGACATTTCTTCAGCCACCTTTGTAAGGCTGCAGGGCGGGAAGCTCAGATTATATTATCTTGCACCTTTGAAACACAGGCTGCTTCACCGCAGACAAGGGGCCAGAGTATGCAACTCCCTCATCAATCAGACTAAGTCAAATCAGGAGGAACTCTAAGTGCTTTTACTGGCTTAAACACAGTTACTGTACTTTGTGTCATGCTCTCATACAGGCCAGACGCATTATCTGTCCCAGTGTCAGCCAGGAGAGGTCACTGGAGAGCAAAGCAAGTTACTTCAAGCACACCTTTAATCATCACTGACATTTCACCTCAACAGAACTGTACTATGGAATGAAAATGAGCGTGTCCAACTGGGACTATCCGAATGGTCTCTGCAGAAACGTACAATTGACACATTATGCCCTGAAATAGGAGGAAGTCTGGAAAAATCCTTGTGGCTGAAACACTATGAACAGGAATTATGCAAATTAATTCACCAGCATACCCTCACAATTAGTAGTGCACAAAAACGTTTTCAGGGCGCATTTCCAGATATACGAGAACAAGTCTGCTGTGCAAATGCAAGCTACCGAGAACAGAAGCTTTACCTTGTGCTTGTAGCCTTTTTCTTTTTGCTTCCCTCTTCTCCGAAGGATAGGTAGCTCTTCAAACTGATATCTGCCTTCAAAAAGCACAATCGCTTTTCCTGCGACCCAGGCTCTCTCAGAAGGGTCTCCTAAGGCATCTACGTAGTATTCTCGATATGGTCTCCGATTGGAAACTATTTAAAAAAAATTGAACAGGATTATTGTCTTGCTTGAAACAGCATAGTAGCATAGGAAAGGAAACAAATTGACAAGCAAGTTTATTAGTAGGTTTGCCACACATTCTCTTCATAACTTGTTCCTATACTCCTAAGCAAATGCCGCTAGGAGAATGCCTAGTCAGAAGGTCGGTGAACATGCTTTTGTCTCAGTTTTCCTTGCCTTTGGTTAGTATTTTGCATCTTGGAGAGGAGATAGCTGTTAAACAGTGGATAGACAGCCTAGGGAACCCTTTCTCACTGGAGCAAAGACTTGGTAGTTGGGCTCCAATCATTTGGTGAAAACAACCCAATCATCTCCTTCTGTAACAGGAAATACAAAATGCAACGTAATTTTTATCCCCTTAATGTTTACACTCTCCAGCCCTCTAGAAGGTTGTAAAAACTGCAGGAAGGTGAGCTTGAGAGAATATATGAATAAATCAAAAGTATTAGGTCTCTACTAAATTCACAGCCCATTTTGGTCAATTTCATGGCCATAGGATTTTTGAAATAGTAAATTTCATGTGTTCAGCTATTTAATTCTGAAATTTCACAGTGTTGTAATTGTCAGGGTCCTGATCCAAAAAGGAGCTTGGGGGAGGGCGCTCACAAGATTATTCTATCGGCTGTGGTACTGCTACCCTTCTGTGTTGCTGCTTGCAGCGTGCTGCCTTCAGAGCTAGACAGTGGAGTGCTGCAGCTGCTAGCTGGGAGCCCAGCGCTAAGGCTGAACTGCTGCCAGCAGCAGCACTGAAGGATGGCTTGGTATGGTACTGCAACCCTTCTGCCTGCAGAGCTGGGCCAGTCAAGTTGCCACTCTCCAGGCATCCAGCTCTGGAGGCAGCAGTGCAGAAATAAGGCTGGCAGGATATGGTATGACATTGCCAGACTTCCTTCTAAGCTGCTGCTGGTAGGATACTGCCTGGCCAATAGCTGCTGCCCAGCTCCGAAAGCAGCAAAGTACAGGTGGCAATACTGCAGCCCATACAGCATAGAGTAAGAGAGCACACAAGACCAGGTTCCATAGGAGAGAGACCAGATACCCCAGTCCATGACATTTTCCACTGCCTTGAATTTGGAAATGCCCCACATATTACTACTATAACTTAGATAGGGCCACGATAAGGTGGGTGCATAATTGGCTGGATAACCGTAGTCAGAGAGTTGTTGTTAACGGTTCTAAATCCTGCTGGAAAGGGATAACAAGTGGAGTTCCTCAAGGGTCTGTTTTGGGACCCGTACTATTCAATATCTTCATCAATGATGTAGATATTGGGATAGAGAGTACTCTTATTAAGTTTGCAGATGATACCAAACTGGGTGGGGTTGCAACTTCTTTGGAGGATAGGGACATAATTCAAAATGACCTTAGCAAGTTAGAGAAATGGTCAGAGGTAAACAGGATGAGGTTTAATAAGGAGAAATGCAGAGTGCTCCACTTAGGAAGGAACAATCAGTTCCATACATACAAGATGGGAAGCGACTGTCTAGGAAGGAGCATGGCGGAAAGGGATCTAGGGGTCATAGTGGACCACAAGTTGAATATGAGTCAACAGTGTGATGCTGTTGCAAAAAAAGCAAATATGATTCTAGGTTGTATCAACAGGTGTGTTGTAAGCAAAACTCGTGAAGTCATTCTGCCGCTCTATTCTGCACTAGTTAGGCCTCAGCTGGAGTACTGTGTCCAGTTCTGGGCGCCACATTTCAAGAAAGATGTGGAGAAATTGGAAAGGGTACAGAGAAGAGCGACAAGAATGATTAAAGGTTTAGAGAACATGACCTATGAAGCCAGGCTTCATGAACTGGGCTTGTTTAGTTTGGAAAAAAGAAGATTAAGGGGGGACATGATAGCGGTTTTCAAATATCTAAAAGGGTGTCACAAGGAGGAAGGCGAAAATTTGTTCCTCTTGGTTTCTGAGGACAGGACAAGGAGTAATGGGCTTAAAGTGCAGCAGGGGAGGTTTAGATTGGACATTAGGAAAAAATTCCTAACTGTCAGGGTGGTCAAATATTGGAATAAATTGCCAAGGGAGGTGGTGGAATCTCCCTCTCTGGAGATATTTAAGAACAGGTTAGATAGACATCTGTCAGGGATGGTGTAGACGGAGCTTGGTCCTGCCTTGAGGGCGGGGGGCTGGACTCGATGACCTCTCGAGGTCCCTTCCAGTCCTATTATTCTATGATTCTATGATTCTATGATTCTACCATCTCCCAACCAGCGTGTCCTGTACACTGCAGATGCTCAGGAGAGATTCAAATGCCCCCCAGCTGATTAGCAGAGCCCCCCCCCCCCGCTAGGTTCTTTGTGTCTATTGGTAGTGCACATCCGTACATGCCTCAGTGTACAGAACAACTATTCTGCACATGGGTGGAAAAGATTAGAGGGAATATTGCTCCTAAACCCGCTCACAGGTGAGTCCAGCTGTCTCTGTATTGGAATTTAGGAAAGGAAATGGTCAAATACCATCCTAGGCCTTAATTTCCAGCTTGTTCAGCAGATTGATACTGATGCAGAGCGCTGGTGGCAGCGAGCGCAGCACTCTAAGGAACAGAGTGCAAAGCTGTGCATGCAATACCCAAACTGCTGCACGCTGGCCCTGCATGCCCTGGGAGCACAAGGCAAAGGCATGTACAGGCAGTCCCCGAGTTACGCGGATCCGACTATTGGCCAGGCAGCAGCTATTGACCAGCAGACCAGGGAGACGGGAAGCAAAGACTCTGAGGATGCCGGCAGCGGGACAGCCGCGGTGCATCTGGGCTGTCCGCTGCCCACGTGCTCCGCAGCTTTGCTCCACGTCTCCCTGCCCAGAGAGACAGAGAGCAAAGCCAGGGAGCACGTGGGCAGCGGACAGCCCAGATGCACCGCGGCTGTCCCGCTGCCGGCATCCTCAGAGGCTTTGCTTCCCGTTTCCCTGGTCTGCTGGTCTCCAGCAGACCAGGGAGACGGGCAGCAAACCCTGTTCGTAACTGCATATCCGACATAATAATTGGTATCTCTATGCATAGGTTATTTCAAGAAACTGACATATGCAGAGCAAACTACAACATTTTGGACAGAACTCCTGTGTTTGAAGCAATTTGAAGTGTGTTGACACTCCCAATACTCTATCTGCTGTACATCTATCATAAGAACCTTGAACATCTGCATAGTCCCTTAAACAACTACTTTGGCAGGCCTTATTCTTTTGGGGATTTGATCTCATAATCTGCTATCGTTAGGTATCAAAAAGAGCAAGGCCAAAGTTTTGTGCTGGAAGGATGAATATTATGCTGACCTAAAAGACTGAAACCCTAAAACTTCCTGCATCCTCGAGTCTCATGATTTTCTGAGGCAGCTCCACACCGAGATCTGCTCTTCTTCATAGTGCCGCTCTACTCTGCACTAGTTAGGCCTCAGCTGGAGTACTGTGTCCAGTTCTGGGCGCCACATTTCAAGAAAGATGTGGAGAAATTGGAAAGGGTACAGAGAAGAGCAACAAGAATAATTAAAGGTTTAGAGAACATGACCTATGAAGCCAGGCTTCATGAACTGGGCTTGTTAAGTTTGGAAAAAAGAAGATTAAGGGGGGACATGATAGCGGCTTTCAAATATCTAAAAGGGTGTCACAAGGAAGAAGGAGAAAATTTGTTCCTCTTGGTTTCTGAGGACAGGACAAGGAGTAATGGGCTTAAAGTGCAGCAAGGGAGGTTTAGATTGGACATTAGGAAAACAGCCGCTGGTCAGTTTCAGCAGCGGCTGAATCTGGACGCCAGTTCCGACTTACATACAAATTCAACTTAAGAAGAAACCCACAGTCCCTATCTTGTACGTAACCCGGGGACTGCCTGTACTGGAAGCATGTAAATGCTTAGAAGGGGTTTTCTGGCCAAGAGCATTCAATGAGCTCAGCATGCTCGAGGGGGGAGAGGGCTTGCAACACTGGGTTACTGCCGAGTGCTCGTGGAAGGGCCTGGACTAAGGGCATTAGAACACACAGGGTGTAGGGAGGGGGAGGCACTACAGTCTTGTTCCCCACCCTGTTCTGCAGGGACAGGGCTGCTCGGTCTCCATGGCCAAGTCAGTGCCTAGCTTCTCTGCGGACAGCGCAGCAGCAGCGCCAGCCTGCACGGGCACCAGGCATTCCACTGAGCCCTCTCACGCACTCACCAGACAGGGCACAGCACAGACTTCCAGCAAATACGGATCTGAGCTGGGGCAGGCCAAAGACTGCGTATGTCCTGTTCCCCTCCCACTGAGCAGGGGCCTGGCGACCCTCCAGCCACCTGGGACAGACACGGTTAGTCGCTCTGCAATGTTATTTCAATCCCCTCAGCATTCTTGGGTGAATACCATGTGGCCCGGGGCACTTGTTCCTGTATCACTTGGCTCCTCTACTGACACCACAATCTGGGACTGCTCCTCAGATGTGTTACCTAAAAAGGGCTCAGGTGCCAGAATCTCCCCAAACCTTTGCAGTGAAGGCCTCGATCCGCCCCTTTAGCACTTAGTTTGCCCAGTGGCCCTACTGATGGTTCACCAGGCTTCCTGTTTCCAATGTACTTTCCATTTTGCTGCTGGTTTCTTAGTCTGAGATTTGCTCTTCAAGTTATTTTTTGGCTTGGCTAATTATATTTTTACTATGACTTGCCAGAGCTTATGCTCCTGTCTGTTCTCCTCAGTAGGACTTCACTCCCGTTTCGAAATGGGGCCTTTTTTTGCCTCTAACCACCTCTTTTATTCTGGTTCACCAAGGTGGCACTTTTTGATCCCCTTCTTTTTAAATGTGGGATGTACCCTTTGTTTGAGCCTTTTATGATTTTATAAAAAGTTCCCATGCGTCTTGCAAGCATTTCACTTGTGTGACCTTTCCTTTTAATCTCTGTTCAACTAGCTTCCTCATTTTTGTAGTACCCTTTTCTGAAGGTAAATGCAACTGTGGTGGGTTTCTTTGGTATTTTTCCACCTACAAGGATTTTAAATCGAATTACATTATGGTCACTATTACCACATCCTATGCTCCAAATTAGAACTAAATTGAAACTGCCTGACCATCCCTAAGGTTCCAGGACTACCAGCCCCAAGACAGTCATTAAGAAGGTCTAGAAATTTCATCTTTGCATCCAGTGCAGCCAGTAGGGAGACAGCTGAAATCCCCCATTATTATTGACTTCTCTGTTTGTACGGAGCGTCCATCCAGAGCGATTCTGGGGACAGTTTGGGTCATGTCAGAGCTGGCCTGGATTTGACTCCTGCACCGCTCCCTCACTCGTGCCACCTAGTCTGTCCTCCCTAGCCACTCCCGGGACCCAGGGATTCGCATCCTTCCACCCAGTGTCTCTGGTGCCTGCTAGAGCAACAGCCTCATCCCAGGCCCGGCACTCAAGTCGCCCGTCTTCCTAGACTCCTAGCACCTGGGCAGCAGCACTTCTAACCTCTGCCAGTATTTAGCTCTCTGCCTGCCTGGGATGGCACTGAACGGGACTGCTCCTCTTCACCTCCTGCCTGTTTAACCCCTAGCCTCTGGCCTTTCCTCCGGGGTGGATCTCCGACAGGGAGTCTAGGGAGCCCCGTTCCCTTGGCACAAACTGAAATCCTTCTCCCGCCACCCTTCCCAGGAAGCCTGTACCTGACTCCTTCCCCCCAGAGATGTTGGGGGTGCGAGGCTATGGGTGCATGGGCGAGCCACCTTCAGGTGAGTGCAGTGCTGGCAAGCTGGAATGCCGGCAGACTGCAGCCCACTGGCAGAGCAAGAGGCAGGGCGGGGGTGCACTGGGGGGTGCACATCCACACACTACTCAGTGTGAGGGGCACAGAAGACATTTCGACCCACCCAAGGATGGAGAATCTTAGAGGGAACTTTGGCCATGCCCCATCTGTGCTGTAAGCTGCGCGCTTGGACAGCCTTGCCGGAGAGTCACGTGCCTCCCTGCCGATTAGCAGAGCTGCACAGCCTGCAACGTGTGTTCAGGTGCCCTTCCCCCCACCTTGCTCCGACCTGCAGCTGCTCCCAGGACCTTCCTGCTAGCTGCAGAGGGGTGCTGATATCAGGGCTCCCAGGCTGGGGGTCTGCAGCCTCATGCTGGGTAGAAGCAGCGGGGGGAGGGTCAGGCCTGCTTCTGCAGGTTGGGGCAAATTGAGGACACCTCTCCCCGCCACAGCAGAGCCAGAGCTGGCAAAGCACCTCCTCCCACCGCAGCAGGTCTGAGGCTAGAGAGAGGCATTATTCCCCACCACAGACCTGACCAGGACTTAACAGGCTACTGCCCTGGTGCTGCGTGACTGCGTAGCTTAGAGGGAACTCAGCACACCACATCGACTGTTGCCCCCGTCCACAAGGCTTCTTACCCTGCCACGGGAAGCTATGAGGTTGCTCTTTACAAATCCATGCTGACTGTTCCTTTCACCTTATTATCTTCCAGGTACTTGCAAAACCCATTGCTTAATTACTGGCTCCAAGGTAAGCTGGCTGGCCTGTAATTCTCCATGGCTATCCTTACTTCCCTTTTTAGAGATGGGCAGGATACTTGCCCTTTTCCAGTCCTCTGGAATCTCTCCTGTCTTCCAGGACTTTTCAAAGATGATCACTAATGGCTCCGATACGTTCTCAGTCAGCTCCGTGGGCATTCTAGGGTGCATTTCATCCAGCTCTAGTGACTGGAAGACATCTAATGTGCAGAAGTCACTTGTAACTTCTTTGCCTATTTGAGCTTCTGACCCTACCTCACTTTCACTGGCATTCAGGGTGCCAGAGGTCCAATCACTGAGAACCTTTTTGGTGAAAACCAAAACAAAAGTAATTTAGCACTTCTGCCTTTTCTACACGTTCAGTTATTGCTTCTCCCCGTACGAACAGTGGGCCTACCCTCTCCTGGGTCTTCCTCTTGCTTGGAACATATTTCTAAGACTGAGAGGGGTAGCCGTGTTAGTCTGAATCTGCAAATGCAGCGAGGAGTCCTGTGGCATCTTCTAGACTAGCAGATCTGTTAGTCTATAAGGTGCCACAGGACTCCTTGTTGCATTTCTAGACTATTTCCCTTGTTACCCTTTATGTCTCTGGCTCGCTTCATCTTGTTTTGTGCCATGGCCTCTCTAACGTTATCCTATATTCCGTGTGTACACTCATCCTGTCACTGGACCTCGTTTCAACCTTCTGTAGGGCTCCATTTTGGGTTGCAGCTGCAGACCACAGCAGTGTGAACTGATGGCCACTAATGCTGCTTGCTCTCAGAGCCCAGCTCTCCAGAAGGGTGAAGGCCACAGAAGTTGCAGAAGCAACACATCCCTAGAGAGCAGCCTGTCCTGCATATGGAGCACTACCCCAGACACTGGGACATTCCAAAGATGTATCAGTTACCAAGGGAATGCAGGGAGAGCACGAGGCTGGAGGGAAGCAGGAAAAAGAAACACTCAAAGATACAGGCCTCCCATTCAGGGTGTGCTGGAATAAGAGGCCCCTGCTGCAGCTTCTTTAAACTGCTGTACATGTAAAATCCGAGAGTGCAACAAGGGCAGTTTCTCCTCCGGCTACGCCAGGCACCACAGCGCTCCTCCTCCTGTGTGCCACCAATCCCCATTCTCATGCTACCTGCTCCCTGCCTCTGCCTACATCGGCGCTCGTTTTAAAATGCCAAAAGCTGCACAGGCCAGCCACGCACTCACCCACTCATTCGCATCGCCCCGCCCTGCCCACTAGCTCACACCCGTGCCTGTCTTTCAGTCTGTAGGCTTCTCATGCAGGGACCATCTTTTGTAACCTCTGTGCACTGCCAGGTGAAAGGCAGCCCAAATGCGTCTTACTAGTAAGAACAAACGGCAGCTACCGTGGCACCCTTGGGCCCCTCTGGGTGTGTGGGGGGGGGGGGGGCGTATTACCTTTCATTTTTGAGTGACAGTCGAGCACTGGATCGTGACAGATTGTGCAGGGCCACCATGGTCGTCTGTTGAACTTAGCCCAGACTAGATCTCCAACTTCATACTTCACTGGAGCAGGTTTCTTCTTGGCTCGATTCTTTGGACAGAAATCAAACAGGAGGACTCAAGTAAGCAAACAGATACTTTTGAAGAGTCTCACATCTGGTTGCAACGTCATAAGACATACAACACCAGAGGCAACATTGCTATTTTTAAAAGACCTTAATATATTTCTTGCTCCTACAACTTTCCCAGGACACTAACCATTTCTTACCACCCTCTCCTTCCTAATCCACCACAGCCAAACATCACATCGTTGCTCACTGCCAACACTGCTACAACCAGCTCAGCCAGATGCCATGGTTCACAGAGCATGAAGCAGAATATCTTGAGATCTTTCTGGCTGGAAGGTGGTGATCAGAAGAGCAGATGAACAGTACCTGCCTCGGAGACGATACGCATAGGAAATGGAGTGTGCTGATAAAACACTGGATGCTGCACTGGATGCATGTATGATCACGAGATTGTTGCCATTTCTCCTGCAGCTTGGTTTAATGCAGGACGAAGCCCCTGACCTCCCAAACCCCAAGCGTGAGAGAGAAGGCAAGTCTCATAGCAGCGGCAGACTGAAAATGCAAAGGAACCAAATAGCAACATCGGGGTGTGACTGGCTGAGATGTGGCTCCCCAGAAAGGCAGCCACACGCGCGCCACATCTGCCCCCGGAAGCTGGACCTGAACTGTTATGCATTAGGAAACTGCCCGATCCACGTGCTAGCAGGCTACACACAGGTCCGGTGACAAGATCCACTCAGAGCCACCTGACTTGCTAACTGACAGACTGCTGCCCAGCCACACCGGGAACGCAGGAACACCCAGGCCTAATAATGGTTCTAAGAGCTGAGGCAGGGGGCACCAGGCAGCTCCGGAGGAAAGGGGGCTTCCCAAGGCTGCTGGTTAGTGTACACCAGAAAAGGGGGCCTAGGAAGATGCTCCTGGAGGGAGCAGGCTCCGAACGGGCTACAAAGGAGGCCTGGTCCCAGCAAAAGGACTGTAACAAGCAGCAGCAAGAGGGGCCAATTGCTGGGGCACTAGAAAAGAGCCGCAGCAGTTTCACATCTGTAGGGCCCGGAGTCCTAAGACGGAACCCTTCCCTAGGGGACGGCAGAGCCTGACTCCAGGAGGGCCTCACTGGTGCAGAACCTGGACGACCTCAAGAAGGAAAAACTAGACTAATATTAACTCCCACCCAGTCCCCGTTAGAACCCTGGGCGGGAGGCGGGGAGACTTCCTTTCCTATCTGTCCAGCCTTTGAGCGAATAGCAAAGTGCCTGCATTAACACGGTGCTAGGCTTGTGCCCTTCCAAGATGCCAAGTTCAGCAAAACCAACTCCTGAACACCAGGACAGAGCCGTGGGAAAAGCCCATGCAACCGTAACTCTGCCCCTGCAGCTGGCAGCAGCCACTGGGAGCGACTGGCATGCTGTCCAGCTGCACTGCCACCAGGGTAGCCGTGGCGGGGGCACCGAGTAGCTTGGAAGAGCTGTAACCGTGCGGTAAGGCAAGCTGGATGAGAACCAAAGGAGGCGGCACCAGCCTGGGTCACTGCAGGGTGGGATCAGTAGCAGGGTGGGACATGGGCTTTGGGTTATATGCTACTCGCCATTCCAGTGACGGGCTCAGAGACTTTTGACCTGAGGTTTCTCAGGTGAGATCTTGTGTCTAATGTTCTGGAAGGGCACGAGCTCCCACCAGGCAGCCTTAACTCCACCCGAGTTCTGACCATTTCACCTCTTGGGGTTGTGAAACAGAAGGTCTGTGGGCAGGAGTCGGTGGTCAGTGAGACACGGGCCGTTCTCGCCTCACTCCACAGCTGGCGGCTCCTCCTGGCTCGCACACGGTGCTTTCCAGAAGCCAACTCAAAGCACTTCCCACTTTACGACTGGGAAGCTTACACCAGGTCCTCCAGCAAGCCAAGGAGACCTCCAGGCCCACAGCTGCGCTGGGCCCCCTAGCGCACCTTAGCCCCAGCCAGTACGTTGTGTTAGAGTGCACTGGGGAACTGGTGGGCCAGAGGAAGGGAAGAGGGAAAGAAGGCTAGACCCCAATTGACAGGCATGAGCTCCCCCAGACGCTGGAGCATACCAGGGCTCAGGCCCCACTGTGGGGAGCAGGGACCTCCAACCCCCTAACTCCCACAGGGAGAAAGTCCCCAAGAGAGGGGTCTCGCCCCCAGGGAACAGCACGCACGCGAGAGGGGTAGGTGGGACTGAGACACGCCTGCTCTCCCCTTCCCTGTCAGTCCCTTCCCCTCCCTCCCACTCCATCTAGTCCCTATTGCCAGATCCTCCAGCACCTCTGCCCCACTGGCCTGTTGTGCAATCTGGGGCAAACCTTTTCCTTCCACAGAGTGTCACTTCCCTTCCTGGCCTGTAAGTGTCTTGTCTGTAGTACTGACAAGGGGCTGCTCTCACTTTGAGGGGGGGCGGGAAGAGGTGCAGCACCTGCCAGATAGGGCCCCGCCCTTGCAGGCCGTTAGGGGCCACCAGAATACATCTGACTGTCACGTTGTTGCCTTTCTGAAGTATGTGAACAACCCAAAGTACTTAATGAAATTCTGGCAGTGATTAATCTAAGATGAGCAAACTTTCTGGCTAAGCGAGATTTCTCTCTCAGCCTGGAGCCACACAGCACCATGCTCACAGCGGTATCCCTACATCAATGTACCTATGCCAGCACAAAAGTCCCTCCTGGACACAGGCCCATAGCACAGCTCAAAGATGCAGATTTTAGGCAGCACCAAAATAGTTAACTCCATTACATTACACTCTAGAACTGGAAGGGACCTCGCGAGGTCATCGAGTCGAGTCCCCTGCTCTGACAGCAGGACCCAGTACCAGCTAGACCATCCCTGATAACTGTCTATCTAACCTGCTCTTAAATAACTCCAGGGATGGAGATTCCACAACCCCTCTAGGCAACTTATTCCAGCGTTTAACCACCTGACAGGCAGGAAGCTTTTCCTCATGTCCAACCTAAGCCTCCCTTGCCGCAGGTTAAGCCCCTTGCTTCTTGTCCTGTCCTCAGAGGCCAAGGAGAACAATTTCTCCCTCCTCCTTGTGACACCCTTTCAGATACCTGAAAACTGCCATCAAGTCCCCTCTCAGGCCTCTCCTTTCCAAACTGAACAAGCCCAGTTCTTTCAGTCATCCCCCATAGATCATGTTCTCTAGACTTTTCATCATTCTAGTTGCTGTTCTCTGGAGACATTCAGATTTCTCCACATCTTTCTTGAAATGTGGTGCCCAGAACTGGACACAATCCTCCAACTGAGGCCTGATCAGCGCAGAGTAGAGTGGAAGAATGACTTCTCATGTCTTGCTCACAACACACCTGTTGATGCATCCCAGAATCATGTTGCCTTTTTTTTTTTTTTTTTTTTTGCAACAGTGTTACACTGTTGGCTCATATTTAACTGTGGTCCACTCTGATCCCTGGATCCCATTCTGTAGAACTCCTTCCTAGACAGTCACTTCCCATTCTGTAAAAGCGACGAGGAGTCCTGTGGCACCTTATAGACTAACTGAAGTGTAGGAGCATAAGCTTTCGTGGGCAAAGACCCACTTCGTCAGATGCATGCTACCCCTCTGATATTTGTTCCCATTCTGTGTGAGACACACTGATTGTTCCTTCTTAAGTGGAGCATTTTGCATTTGCCCTTATTAAACTTCATCCTATTCACCTCGGACCATTTCTCCAGTTTGTACAGATCATTTTGAATTCTGACCCTATCAAAAGCAGTTGCAACCCCTCCCAGCTTCATATCATCTGCAAAGTTAATAAGTGTCCTCTCTATGCCAATATCTAAATAGTTGATGAAGATATTTAACAGAACTAGTCCCAAAACAGACCCCTGCAGAACCCCACTTGTGATGCCCTTCCAGCAGGATTAAGAACCATTAGTAACTACTCTCTGAGAACAGTTATCCAGCCAGTTACACACCCACCTTATAATCGCCCCATCTAAGTTGTATTTGCCTAGTTTATTTATAAAAATATCATGCAAGACCGTATCAAATGCCTTACTAAGCCACATTCGCTGCTTCTCCCTTATCCATAAGACTCATTATATCCTATCAAAAAAAGCTATCAGATTGGTTTGACATGATTTGTTCTTTACAAATCCATGCTGGCTGTTCCCTATCACCTTATTATCTTCCAGATATTTGCAGATGAATTCCTTAACTAACTGCTCCATTATCTTTTCTGGACCAGAAGTTAAAGTGACCGGTCTGTAGTTTCCTAGGTTGTTCTTATTTCCCTTTTTATAGCTGGTTACTAGATTTGCCCTTTTCCAGTCTTCTGGTATCTCTCCTGTCCCCCATGATTTTCCAAAGATAATAGCTAAAGGCTCAGATACCTTTATCTGCTCCTTGAGTATTCTAGGATGCATTTCATCAGGCCCTGGTGTCTTGCAGACATTTAAATTTGCTAAGTGATTTTTAACTTGTTCTTTTTTTATTTCATCTTCTAAATCTCCCCTCTCCCCACTAGCATTCACTATGTTAGGCATCCCGTCATCATCAGACTTCTCGGTGAAGACCGAAACAAAGAAGTCATTAAGCACCTCTGCCATTTCCAGCAACATTCAGTCCACCCCACAATTATTTTAATTCTTCACCAACTGACTTTTTCAGCACCAGGAGTCAGATGTTGGTCTTATAATTAAGCATCATCATGAAGGCTCCATCAATGCTCTCATGAAGAGAAACTCAGCTACTGCAAACTGGTACACTGCCTTCATTACAAGCATCAGAGCCAGTTGGCCTGCAGCCGAACACCTCGCCACACTCTTGCCCACCAGTTCCCAGACGCAGTAAGACTCTTCTAGATTTCCAAAAAACACATTTCCCATTAGACAGTGTCCAGAACTAATGTGGGGGAGCCAACTGCAGTGACTGGGCACTAACAGAAATAGAGATGGCGCTTCTGCTTAACTTGGCATAGAAAGCCTGACTCCGTTTTGGGGACCCAAAGTATGACTGCCATACGTTTTATTCCCAATAGAATAGAGGGAGGACATACAGTTTTAGGTTGA